GGCAGAGTTCAGTCCAAATGTTCAGGAAAACACCGAAAATGCAGGGAGACAGGGAGAAATAAGGAGATGAACAGGAGTTCAAATAAATAGAGTAAAGGAGGATAAAGATTGGTGCACTCATGTCATAATAAGGAAGTTTTGTTGAGTGTTGCCTTGTCTTGGCCATAAGGATGCTCTTACTCAATATAATAAGATGTGGACTCACAAGAATTGGACCTGAGTACCGAATATGTTGACTTTGACTTGACTGAATGATAACAGCTTTTTGACCTGAAACAATCTGTATACAAGCAAACATGGTTTACTACGCTGTGAAATGAGTTACCACAAAGTTTACATTGGTGATTTATTAGTGGCATTTCTTAACAGCTATTACGACCCACTACACTCCACTAGGGGTCTCTGTGTGTTCTCTTCTTGCTGGCTCTCCTCATCAGCGTGACATGCCTGTGCCACTCTTTTGGACACATGCACATTTTCACACACCCATAAACGCAGGCATTACTGATTACTGACTTTCACATTTGTATTTGGTTTGTTAAGTCATTAAGTATTATTATTTTATAAATAAATATACTTAATGTTACTTTTAAACGCATCTGGTCTCCTATCATTGTGCAGCCATTGAGCCAGGCTCTAAAAAATGGGTTTACTACGCTGTGAAAATGGGGGCTCGTCCAGGATGCATCAAAGACGAGGGACGAGTAAAAGTAACAGAAAGCATATTACAATATAACCAGGACCGCCCCTGGCCAACTTGGGGCCCCAAGCGACATTGTGAGATGAGGCCCCCCCCCACCAACCGACAGGAGTGAAACATTTTTTTTTGGAAACAAAGTAGGCTACTTTGCAAATATAATTCCTGTTTATTATTATTATCAACACAGTTACTTTTTATGCAGTGAGGTAAATGGTAAATATGCATGTATGTCGTTCAGTATGCGTTTACAGGTGAATACGTCTGCATTTCCTGCCAAATACTAGCCTCAAAAAGATTAAAACATAATTAATGCAAATAAACAACTTCTACTACTAATCATAATCAATTCAATAATATAAATACTATATTATTTTATTATAATATAGTTGTAATATAGTCAAGACAAAACATGCTTATTACAGGCAATAGGGTGCGCGGAGAACTGCGCGGAGAACTGCGCTGAGAACTGCGCACAAGCCGAGCTCATAAGCCGAGGCCCCCGGCGGGAGGCCCCCTGCGCAATGTGAGGCCCCATGCAGCCTGCATGATCGGCCTGTAGGGAGGGACAGCCTTGCCAATTTTGCTCACCTGGAAATACAATACACACCTCTGCCACGTAGCCGCATACTGTGGGCTCTGTCTAATTAATGATACTTCTGTCTGCCGCGTCTGTAGGACCCCTGAGCGCCTGTGTGAGCTCAGTGGTTCTGTCATTCCTCATCGCTCCAATAAAATGGTAGGCCAAGCTTAAAATTGTCAAATGTATCGTTCTATAACAGGGGTCTCCAACCTCTTTTAGGATGAGAGCTACTTTCCAAAAATAAAACAACTCGTGAGCTACTTTTACTCCTCTTTTTTAGTTTTTTTGCAGTGTATATGTTTAGCACATTTTAACATTATTATATGCTTACCTTTAACCTTTGTGTGCTGTTTGGGTCTGTGGGACCCGTTTTCAGTGTTTACTAAAAGAAAATCTATGCAATCTAATTATTTTTATTTGGGGGTGGACCTCACATCCTCTCGGGGGGTCCGGGGGCATGCACCCCCGGGAAGATGTTTTTTTAAATGTTGAAGTGAAATGCATCAATCTGGTTTGACACTTTGAGCACTTTATGTCCTTCCACTTTGAGTTATCTAGTTGATTGCTTATTGTGCACAATCTAAGGGTTTTCAATGTCAAGTAAAAATATCTGTGTGATAGTGGAGTGTTGTTGCCTCCTATTTTGTTATTCAATTTGTACACAACTTTAAATAACCCTGTTATTGTGTGCAACAAATCGCTCACACGAAACGTCGAAAGGCTATTATTCCCCTGTTGTCCTTCGCCTGCTGCAGGGCAAAGGGGGGATTGAGCGTGCAGAGCAGCAGTCTCTCTCCGCAGGGGATGAAAGGGAGTGTGATTTACTCTCCTCGGCTATCTTTCGAAACACTATCGAAACTACTAATGAGTAAATCTACCAGTCACACCTTCTCACTGATAGGTCAAGTGTAATGGACACTCAGGCATTAACTCTAGCTCCCTATAACTGTGTGACAAAAGATACAAGTGTCTTTAGTTTCATTCATTTGTCGTCATTTTAAATGTTGTCACCTGAAATAATTATAACTGTTATGAGACAAAATGCAGACTGTAAATCCTCCTTTAAACCTCAACATTATAAATATTGATTGCCCCTCAGCTTTGTTTACAACAGCACATTGCATATTTAATCAGAGCAGGATCATCCTTCTCTCATTGAACCGTGAAGACAAAAATCAATAGTTCACAATGGTAAATTGTAAATGTCAGCGAAATAGTTTTTGCATTCAAATTGGGTATACTGATAGTTTGTACACCAAATATCAGTCCATTAAGCTATCTGTATAAAATGTAATCACGCAAAAAATTCACATGTAGATCAGTGTATATGTAGGTAAAGTGCGGATGAATAACGACACACACAATAAAGCAAACAGGTGCAATCAAAGTCAGAAAAAAATCAAAACATTTATTGGGCATAAATATATTATATATACGCTACCGATACAGTTACGTCTTACATACATAGGGTAGTATTTGCAAAAATCTATACATTAAAATTGATATGGCAGTTTCTTTTATATAATGCATATGAAATTGTCTAACATTTACAATACAAGAAGAAATGCATGAATTTCTTTTTTTTTCTCAATTCGTAGACCATGACAACATTGGAATGTTTGTTTTTTTTAAATCGTGAGGTAAAAATATGTTTCTGTTTTTTTGTCTCGCTTAAAAAATAGTTAAATACCTGTGAGTCTCTGTACGTTTCTCAAATCGCCAAATTCTCAGTCAAAATTCTCTACTTACTGTAAAACGTACAAAACATAAAAAAAATAAAAATGAAAAAATAAACTGATCAGAAGGCACAGACGTGGGGGTTGTTGGGCGAAAAAATAGTCTCTCGTTCTTGACATACCTGCAAAATGTGCAGGACATGCAGGATGGGGGGGGGGTATCTATAAAATCACCAGCATTTAAAAATAACAGAACAAAAACAACAAAGCACATGAAGGGAGTACCCTGCCCACAAACACACAGCCTTTCAGTTAACAGTGCGTTAACCTCGGACTATACAACACTAACATGACTGGCCTGAGCTCGGCCAATCACCTCTGCTCTCCCACCGGGGCATTAAGGCTTGTAAAGGGGAATAAAGGGGCTGTGGGTGGGCAACATAACATCAGGGGTTTAAAGACAGGAGAGCTCACATATCACCTGTCGACTACAATGCAACAAGCTAGGTAGACACGCCATTAGCACGTCTGAGAAAGGAACCGTACTCAAACTGTACTTCCTTTGTTGCCGTAGTTTGCATTCTGCAGGTAGCGAGGCGCCATTTGAGAAGCACAGAACCATGCTCCAGTAATGCCAATGTCACAGTGACGCCAACGACAGAATAATGCCAATGAATGTAACAGACGGCGTTGGCAGTAGTGTTTGGTACAGAGAATTTGTGTCTCCTCTCGCTCTTATTAACCTCATCAAGACTAATGCTCGGCATAAAAAAGTGCTTGAACTCTGTTAGTCATACTGTATTACCATTTCATTCTATAGCTCTATAGATACCTCTGTATATCATCTCTTAGCAAAATACTGGATACAAAATACTAACTACTGCTATACCAGCACTAGCCTGAACAAGGAATCGTCAATATTATTATTGTCATCATCTGCCTGAAATCATCAAATGATTGTTTTTGCCTTTTTTTTTTTTTTTTACCTTTCAGTGTGAAATCAGGTTGTTAAAAAGTCTCATTCGAAAGGGGCTACACATTTCATAAATGGCACATTTTGCTTTACAAAACAAAATAATAAAAGATAATATGAAAAGAAGCATAATCACAGATCAAGTTAATCTTTTTTTTTTCCTTTTGAGAGAATAATAATAACAATAATAATAATCGTAATGCTGTGTCGTCACAGAGGAACATCACAGAACCCTTTAGACGACTGCAAACGCAACATCTAGTGGACACGAGAAGCCTGCACTTTGGCAATAAAACAGTAAAAAGATATCAGAAGCTTCATTATAACACTAATCAGGAAAAAAGAAAAAGCCAAAGGCAGCGACGTTTATCCCAATACAGATGACTCGAACTGACCCTAAGGCCTTGCTTTGCTACATGTCTCTCTAAGCAATACAAGAACTGCTCGGCTGTGCACGGCCAAGACAGGAGATGAAAAGAAAAGAAATCACAAAGGCATTTGGTTACATGTTTGAAACGGCAATGATAACTGCAATGCATGGACTGATGAGCTACAGGTTCCCAACAGCTGTAAGAGAAATACTTAAAGGGTTACTGAGATAAGGAATGCTGGCCTTAATCATACGATCTAACATACATCCATTAAAAAAAAGAAAAAGAAAAAAAAACATGCTACAAGGAAAAAATTAGTATATAACTACTTGTCTCTTAATCTTTAAACAATAAATAAATGAAGATTGCACTGTAATTGGCATGTAAAGTACTGTATGCAAATATATAGTATAAATAAAACCTAGAAAAGAACTCTACCTTAACTTTCCCATCAACTTTGGCAAAGGTATTTTTGAGCTAGTAAACCACTGCTTACTGACACATACAGGAGCAAGGCACAGCATCGACAGAGAACAAGATACAGCATCAAATACAAATGAAAGAAAGAGAAAACGGAGGAAGAGAAGCTAAAATGATGATGACAGCGATGGGGGTGACAGGATTAGATCAACCCTCTGTAAGGCCTTATCCCTGAGGTACGTTACAGGCTGCCAATCAGAGCTGGCCGCAACCCCCCCACTTTTTCATAACCCCCTCCCACCCAGTCCTTCTTCCCCTGCACCCCACCTGACAGAATTAGACATGTCACACATTAATCACGCGGGTCAGGGTGACTTCTTTGGATCATCAGGGTATGTATTGGGCTGTACCTTGGCTTTGTTTTTCGGGATGGGATAAAGGGTGTCAGGCGGGAGGTCAGGGGATGTTGTGTGTGTCAGAAGGCCCTGCACTGTTGAGTTGTGTTCTGTCAAAGGCTTGTTTGGTTAGTGAACATTAGTTCAAATCCCCAGAGAACATGTCCGTCTGACTTGCTACTGCTCTGATTACATGTCAATAAAGCACCGTTATGTAGAGAAAGAACAGAGGGAGGGGGAGGGAGAACAAAAAGAGGGAGAGACGGCAGAAAGAAAAGAATGGATCGAAGGCTAGAGAAAAAGAGCAGCCAGAGCTAAAAAAAAAAAAGTCATTACATATAATTATGGGCAGGAGAGGATAAAAGAGGAGGAAGAGTCTTCAAACGTATTTATTCACAGGCTAGCTGGAAGGAGAAACTACAGCTTCAGCACTGCTCTGGCTAGACATTTCAGGGCAGGGGGGGGTAAAGCTCAAGCTAACGGCTCTCCTGGTTAACACACAGAGCTCTGAGAAGCGCAGCTAACTGGCAGGCTGTTTGCACCTTTGGGTCCGACGGGCTCATTAGCTACAGATTAAAAGGCCGCAGCTCTGGTGGTTGAGATGGTAGAATAAAGAAGGACTGAGATCAGCTCATTTCCTGTTGAGTTAGCCAATCACAATCCCAGCCCGGCTTCCTTAACGCTAGAGCCAGTTTGTGCCCAGCGATCGAATACCTACAAGGGTGCATTTTCTGATCCGAGACCAGCATTCAAAGCGCTCCTTCCAGCCGCTGAACTGACCTCAGAGCAGCTGTTTGTAAGCACCTAGGGTCGAATCCTCCCCTTTCACACTGTCCTTCAGACCTTACATTGCCATCACTTATATTACATCACTTTTATAGCATCATAGATATTTGTTATAATATATATTTATATATTGTGTGTATATATATTAGATTACTGGTTTTCCATTCTTTCTTAGATATAATAAAATCACAGGATAGCAGCATCTTACACCACACTTTTTGCATCACTTTGGTAGCTGGATGAGTGAATGATTGAATGTTAAAAGCTGAGCAGATATGAATTGCATGTGTTGACTGACAGTCCGCAGTAACTGAATAATAAAGTATGAACGGCTAAAGCTTTGTAGGCCTACATTGGAATATGACTGAAATGAAAAAAGACTGCAGCAAAAAAAAAAAAAAAAAAAGAAAAAGCAAATTACATTGAAAAACAAAAAGTAAGGCAATGACCGTCATGAAATATACACGTTCTCTAATCAAATATGTTTTAAAAAGATACAAAATAAAAAACATGCAATTCAGTCTGAGGAGCAACTGCTTCGCTCACAGCTATTTTAAGGCTTGATTATCAGTTTTCTTTCCCGTCCGAGGTACAGCTAACACAAGGCTTCCCTCGACAGAAACAGACAAGACACCAGAGACGTAGAGAGAAATGAGAAACTCAGTGAAGGCTGAAGACGACAGGAACAAGGTGAGGAAAGCCAGAATTGATAATTTGACTAAAAAAAGACCATACATAGCCTTAGAAGTAGAAATCAAATGTTTCTTCTGATTTCATTCGCTTCTTTTGTTTGGAGTTTCTCTGTGATTTTGCGTCCTCTTTCTATCCTATAGTTAAAATTCCCTCACTTCATGAAGAAGTACTGTAGCAAGCAGGCGATGAGGATGGAGAAGCCGGCGAACACGCACACGATGAGCGCCGCGAAGCGCTCGTCGCTGGAGATCAGGCCCGCCGCGCCTTTGCCCGTTTCCACGGGGCACAGCTCTCCCGAAGTCGCCGTCTCCTGGCGACGCAGGGTGAACAAGGAGGAGGGGCTCAGGGGACCGCACAGTTCCTGGCACGTATCCTGGCAACGGCGGCAGGCGCCCACACGGAAACGATAGTCTGTGTTGCCCTGGAGACCAGAGATCTGGAACACGCCCTCCTCTCCCTTAAAAACCTGTGAAGGGAGTGAAACGAGTTAATGAAGCCGTGTGCAAAAGCATGTATAATCTCAATAAGGAGCACGTACAATTTTTACTGTGCAATCGATAACGTTTTCGTCAACAAAACTCACTGCCGGATGTTTTTTTTTGTCATGAGCAAATTGAGTGGGTTGGTGTTTTTGATGGAATAGAGACCTGCAAAGTAGCTTGGGTCACAGTGAACTATGATTGCTTGTTTTTATATTGTTGGCACGGTGAAGCTCTCAGCATGAGGCAATTTACAAAAGGGTCTGCACATCTGTCAGGACATCAAGATATATAACATGAGCGTCTACTCAGTCTTTATCTAACAATGCCTTGCTGATTGTGTCATACGTTTCACTATATCTGTAAAGCGTCGTTGAGCACCTGTAAAAGCGCTAACAAAATAAATCTATTATTATTATTACTTCATATGACATTTGAGGAGTTATGTTCCTTTTTGTCCTCCAAGACACATGCATTAGCACTACTTTAAATCTTAAGGTTAACAGAGGAATGCTCGAAGCTGGAAATAGCTCATTCAGTATGAGAAAAGCAAAAAACCTTGCTCATTGTGGAACTGAATAACCTAAACCTGAAACCTCAAAAACTAGATGTCACGCAAAATGTATCCCTTCTCTGTTGCCTTCCTTAGGTTTCTTTCAGACTTTCTCAGGGTATACGTTATACAGAGTACAGATAAAACGAATTTGAGACTTGTAATATTGGGTTGTATAAACAAAATGGTGGTTTTCCTGCATATGAGAGCATTTCACACAATGTTCCAGGCAACAGGTAGGACTGTACGTGTGTGTCACTGTAAGTGTTTGTCTGTTGAAGCCTTCAGAATGTCCTTCCTTCTGGTATTTATGAATGAAATGTGCAAATCAAACAGTGGTGCATGCACCCAGTCGATGTTCTCCTCATTGTGTGTTTACACAAAAGGAACAAACAGACGGAGAGGGAAGAATATAAAAGTCTGAAAAGCAGCTTCACAGATTTGCATTGGCAGCTGACACGTAATGAAATGAGAAAATACACATGCCGCATCCTCTCATGCACACACAGCTGCGGTTTTGTCTGCTGGTGAGTATCAGCAGTTCTTCCCTCTAACCGGTCAGTAATTGAATAACGGAGAGTAAAACGTCCCTGAAGATCAATGTCTCTTCGTCTGCAATCTACTAATCTGCACGTCGCTCAACTGCCCTGTCCAGTATTTACAAGGGCAGTCAAAATCTGTGTGTGTTGCCATCCCCATTATACATCTTTCAATACCAATCAGAAATCCTGCTGGCACTGCAGATTACATTCAATTCCAGAATATTCTCTATCTCTCAGTGGAGAAGACGTGTGTGTGTGTGTGTGTGTGTGTGTGCGTGCGTGCGTGCGTGCGTGCGTGCGTGCGTGCGTGTGTGTGTGTGTGTGTGTTTCATTCTTCAATGTGCAAATTTGCGTCTAGGGGTGTGGGCAATTGAGTGCTCTTGAATGCCTTCCTCATAAATACAAACTGAATTGTTCTGCTCCTCAGGGAGATAAGAAAATGTCTTCCAAGAAGTCGTGCACACTTTAAGAAAGAGACAAATTATCTAAGCCTCTAGAGAGCCATGACGACCCGATTGTGTGTGTGTGTTTGTGTGAGACCAACCTGTTTGTATTCTGACTCGCGTCCCACCAGCACCTGTAGCACGTAGCTCACAGGATCTCCTCTCATTGGTTGGATGGTCTCCCATGTGATCTCACAGGTGTTCCCCTCCAGCTGGTGCATTCTGGGAGCTGTTGGAATAAATGACATCCAAACATGATATCAATCCCATGACCGCCAATTCCATTAATGTCATACATACTACTTCTTCAAAACAATAAAACATCAGAAAGCATCCATATCGCTCTTAAAATCTGAAGCCTCAACACTGAAAAACTGAATAATGTATAATGAGCTCTCTGTGTTGATAACAGTTTTGCAAAGCAATACTTTTCTTAGATGATGACAACATAACAGTAATCCAATTGTGACTGCTCTGCTTAATACAGCATACACTTACTAAACTCTAGAGGGACCTATTCATTGAACTGTCTAAACTCATCCTGAAGGGAAGAAACGCCATCAGACAGCACATGCACTGCTAACAGTTTGATGGAAGCTGCTTGGACTCCTGAGGCTGTTGTTTATGGATATATAAATGCTGTGCTGCACATTCACAGCCATACCCATAATACTTTCTGGGTAAATCACCCAAGAGGACACTCTTAACTGTGATTATTGCAAGTATAATAAGCCACTGCTTCTCGGTTTACAAGAAAAACTGCAGACTGGAGGCGATAATCAAGCATACAACAATTAACATGTCATCTCTATGAGAAAAACAGAAACAAATGTATTTCCGTTTCCTGTTCGGGAAGCTTATCGCCTCTTTGGGGCCGTCAGTGTTGCTCTTAAACTGGCAGAGCAGGTTGCAACAACCATTTAAGTTCAAACTCAGCCTAGATATTACACAAGTGGAGATTTAAATATCACTAAATAAAAATGGGTTACTCTGGAGTAAATATTTGGTTACATCCAATCTATATGTCAAACTCATTTCTAATATTTGACCCTTAATAGAGTATAAAAAGGTACAGATATAATATGGTTGACACAGTCGTCCTCAAGATGTTGAATTGCATTTTACAAAATGAACACAGCAATGCTTCAAATGCCTAAATGCTATGCTATATAAAGTAAGGTTAAATGTCCAAAAAACATAAGATACTAGGTAAGCATAATCAAATATTTACCTCTTATTCTCGAATGCATGACTACAAACATATGTGTCCTTTACAAGCCAAACGAAATAACACAACATTTTACAAAAGGTAAGCGGTTAAGCTTAATATCGTATGCCCCACTTAAACTGTATTTACTTAAAGGGGACCTATCATGCAAAATGCACTTTTGTACGTCTTGTATACATGAATATGTGTCCCCGGTGTTCCAGGGAACTCACCAAGTGTCAGAAAACACAACCCTCTCTATTTTCCTCCATACCCAAATCTCTTAAAAAGGGGCTGCAACGGATCTGATACAGACTGATCCAGATTTGAACACTTCTATGACGTCACAGAAGTNGTCCATACATACGTTCTATTTCGTATATGGCTTCGCCCTCTAAGGCTATCCTACAAGTGTTTCAGTGCTGCGCGGGTGCGCAGGGGGATTACCCAATAGCGATAGCCTTAGAGGGCGAAGCCATATACGAAATAGAACGTATGTATGGACAATAGACCTCTTCCTCCTGTTTATAATACAATGCTTTTTGTGCATTATGGTATTTTGATATCAGCTTTCTGTATTTTTATAGGATGAACTGACATTGAATGCAGGAGGGCTTATCACCCAAAATCTATTTCTGACTTCAACAAATGTAGTGTAAAATGCAGAAATGCTTTGATTTCATCTCTCAAGTCAACCAGGAACTCAACAGGTGTGTTTTGTAAAGGGAAATTGAATCTCAAGATTGTGCACTTGAGTTTTTCTGCTCCAGAGTCCCTGGCCCCGGGCTTGAAAACCTGTGATCTAAAACGAATGACACATTCTTTAATGAACTAGGCCTGCAGAATAAAGGATGTTGCTATTATTCATTGGAGAGCCTCTTCAAAAAGCCAATTAACAAGCTCTACTTACAGTATGACGAGTGATTCATTTAGTGATGACCCGGCTTTCGCTGTGAATACTAAAATATATTCTTTGGCTATAGAAAGCAATTTCAAAGTGCCGGTCAGACAGCTTGTACTTGCAATTTCTTTGGGTCAAGTAACACAGACATATTTCAGACTATTTTTTTCCCTTCTGAAATTGTGATTCCCAAATATAAACACAAAGCTTATCCCTTCAGAAAGTAATAAACGTAATGTTATTAAACTTTTAAAGGATAAACGTGTGGTGCAGTGGGTTGTGAGTTGCTGTTCAGATCAGGGGGTCACAGGTTGAAACCCCACTGCAGTCAGCATGTCGTTGTATCCCTGGGCAAGACACTTCACCCCAAATTGCTCCTGTGGGGATTGTCCACAGTATTGAGTATGTAAGTCGCTTTGGATAAGCGTCTAACAAGTGATATGTAATAAACAAAATATGATTTGGCAACAACTTAGCTGACAACTTAGTCCTTGGAGTAAGGGGGAGACATACTGATACAGTTCCGGTTTATGTTAACATCCTTAGCTTGATGTGCTTTTGACAACTCACTATGACCTCTGACATTGAGGGGGCGAAGCAAATTTTGTGGATCAGCAGTTAAGACTTCTGCCGTTTTCTTTTTCGCTGAGCGGGCATACACAACATGCAGTTCAACCCTCGAGTGATGGGGATTTCATTTAACTTCACAGCTTCTTTTTCCGCTTCTCAGAACACATTTCTCTGTTTCTACATGATCTTCTGTATTAGCTTGACGTCTCATTTAGAACAAACCTAAGTTATATTACAACATTTAATTTTATGATCCCTCATTCGGGATGATATTTTTAGCTTTCTTTTGCCATTTTCTAAATGTAAACACAATATGTAAATGTCTTACTGGGTTATTACTGAAATTCCCAGGAGTGACCCTTCCACAGTTAACACGCTTACTTTTAAGCACTACATTTGCATACATTATCACTTCAATTCAATGTTTTTCAACCAGGATCTTATTAAAATGTTGTTTGCCACCATTTAAAATCATCCAAAGCTCGGCCTCGATAAACTTACTGCTGTGTTGCAGGCAGCTTCTCACAGAGATTAAACACAGTCCAATAGGGAATTGTTGAGGCCTTCAAAGAAAAGGATGAATATCTGTTTCACAAACAGGAAGCTTAAAATATCAACAGTCATGTTTATTGTTCTACTACTTAAAAGAGGGGTTTTATCAGGGTTTTTTAATTGTATTTATATCTGCCCCGAAAGCAGCAAGTTGTCTAAAATTCATGTTATATAAACCTCATTGAAAGAAAAGCTTGTATTCCTTTTACTGAAAGGACAGATCGCATTACACTTCTTTTGTATTGCTGTTAAAGGGGTCAACGATTTCACCATTGGGCTGTGTTTAGGAAGCTGTGGTAGAGGCACACTTTAAGGTTTCAGGTGACAAGGAATTCAATTGTTGAATTCTTCAGTAAGGTTTTTTTCACTCTGAGTTCTGTCAGATGTCTTACCGCCTGACGCTGAAACACTTTGCCATGAATCACTCAGTGATCCAATAGGCCAAACAGCACATATCCTCATTCCCCACTGATGCTGCGATTAATTAGTAGCAAAACTATCTTGGGATTGAGTTGTTGGACTGAGCAAATTAATTATATAAATTAGATTGATTAATGATCCGATACTGGTTATGCATGGTGTAGTTTCAGCGATTACAGTTACAGTTTTTTTTTAATCATTAGCTTATCACTAATCATTCTGCTGTACTGATGCTAGTAAGAAAAAATCAGGGTGCACATGTATAAAGAAGCATCTTTCCAGCCTGATTAGCATTTGATTTGAAAAACTTTTTATTTTATGACAGAAATGTAGAACCATGATTATGAAAAAGATGATAAAAGTCTTGATTAAATTAGGCTTATGAATCACCTGAAGTTATAGGTTTTACCAGCACCCAATTAGCAAAGATTTTAGTAGATTAAAATGAAGTTAAATCTGTTACTTTATTTATGAATCACATAAAAGTGCCTGTCTCTAAACTGTCAAACAGAGGTAAAAATCTAAAAAAAGATCTCAAACAAATAAATATTATTAAGATTGTATTTATTGGATAGGTTTTGTTAAACAATGACCTTTATACTCCATGTTATTTTTTAAACCTTGCTCAACAAGTCACACATTTTTCAACCCTGTGTATGCCAACCACTTTCTTAAAAGTTTAGAAGTTTAGTTTTTATTAAATTGAATAATCATCCCTACAGTAACAATGTCAAACAGTCAAAACTGTGCATTTGCTTGAAGCAGGAATGTTGATCAGGTTTGTCTCACCTGTTGATATTGACAGTGGTCTGACTTCATCCCAGCAAAAACGAATTAGTAATATATTACACTGGAGTATACTTTACTGTTCTTTCAATGCAAGACTATTGCAGCTGAAGCTTTCAGTTTAGTATGATGGGTATCTGTGTGGTTGTCTGTAACAAACCTCATCTGTTCTGCATCTATTTTCATTTTGTGATGGTCATGCATGCCACTGGGCATTCACTGTCCTCGATTCACAGCAGTATAATCACGGTAAAAATAGATTATTAACAAGCATCAAACTGGGTCTTGTCATGTTACAATATTCCAGGTTGACGGTAATGAGTTGGAATAATGTCATGCCACCTACTATGATGGCCTGCTCAAAATGTATGAATGCCTGTGGTGTGACTGATGTGGTCTGTCACCTAAGCCTACATCAGCGTGTTTGTGTTTGTGAGATTTTATTTATTTATGTATACCCTGGTTGGCTGGCTTACTTGTGGGTTCATGCTGTTTGATTAATCCTAAATATCCTGAATCTTTTGTTGTCATTTTGTCTGTGACAGCTGTGTGTCAGAACCTATGAATAGCATTACTGCAGCTGAATATCTTGGCGTAATCAATCAGAAGACATTGTATCAAGCATCAAATAGAGGGATTTTGAGCCAAAGGGAAAAAATATATATTGAAACCCTACGTTCCTTCTTCCCACGCACACACCGGGTTATTATTCGTCAAGAAGATGTGGGGACATTCATGCTGCTCCTCCCACACTTCTACACACAAACTCATCATGCGACACACACACACATTTC